TATAAATTAATGTAAACTAAATAAATATGTACATTTGTATGAGAAAAATTCACTTGCCCGATCGGACAAGTACGTCGATAATTTCACTTGCCCTAACTCAGAAATTACTTGCCCCGGGAATCGGACAACCGTTAATGTCGATCCCCGCCGGTTCTTGAGAAAAAGATTTTTAAAAGATGCTATCAATTTTTCACTAATTGGTTATTATCTCCCCTTGAAAGAGGGTGTGGCCCTTCATTCAAACAAATTTGAATTCCCTTTACCCAAGGATACTTTGTGGCAAGTTTGATTGAAATTGACCCAGTGGTTCTTGAGAAGATGCCAAAAATGTGAAAATTAAGTTTACTGACAGATGGATGCCAGAGAAAATGTGATAATAAAAGCTTACTTGACAGTGTCAGAAACCTTTCACCATATGTATTTTTCTTGCCCAGTTCTTCGAGTGAAAATATGTTGGGAATGACACCCAATATATTTTTGCCTTTTCTTGATTTTCTCCCCTTGAATAAAGACGTGGTCTTTATTTGATCAAGCTTAATTCCCCTTTACTCAAGAATGCTTTGTCTAATTTTGATTGAAAATGGTCTGGTGAATTTGGATAGAAGTTAAAATTGTCAAAAGATTATACAACAACACAGACAGACAATGGACAAAGTTCACTTGGCTTCGCTCAGCTGTTCAAGTGAGCTTATAAAATAGAAATATTACCAAGCACTAGAGGTTTTTTGAATATGTTGATTTATTTAATATTCATGGGGGGGGGGGTCCCAAAAAGCCTATACATAGACAAGAGGCCCAAGTGCCTTAACGGTCACCTGAGTACAACAATTTAGAGGATCCATAAACTGATATATGAAGCTTATATTGCCCAAATGCAAGGAAAAAAGTATAATTAGAATCAACAAAATAATCGGTCTATTTTCTATATATCTGTCCCCCATTTATCATTATTACCATGCAGACTATTAACAAAATATTTTTAACCCATATTATTACCTCTCATACTGGCCTCTCTTGGCCTTTGAAGAACATTCAAAAAAGATAAGTTATTTTTTTGTCTCATTTTTATTCATCTATTATTTCCAAGTCTACCTGATCAATAAAACTATGAAAGTACTCTTTGTACTATACGATAAATGTTCTTGCATAATTATCATATTCTATTAACCATTCAAATACATTATTTACAGTGATTAATTATCAAAGGTGAATGGCAAAGGGGAATAACTTTGCTCAGTAGAATACAAATTAACAAAGCCCTGGCCAGGACCAGAACATTTGATTAAATGGTCTAGATGTTAAGTAAATATACCCTTGCTTATTAAAACTTTTACTTTGTTTGCCTTCAATATGCCTAGGAGCAGAGAAGATTTTCTAAGAAATAATGCATTTTCACTATAGATTTAACACAGCCCTAATACCAGAACCCATGACCCAGGTTCATGAAATTTACAGATTTGGAAGAGGTACTCTCATCATCATAACTATGCATTTAGATGAAGATTTTCAAAGAATTAGAAAAAATATTTTGAAAGTAATTATGCATTTTCATTATATAATCAATAAAGCCCCCCCCCCCCCTTCATCAAAACCCCTGACCCTGGGACCATGAATTTCACAATTTTGAAAGAGGCAATCTTGTTTATCATGACTATGCACTTCCTTTGTTTAGATAATATCCAGGAGCAGAGAAGATTTTCAAAGAAATAATGCATTTTCACTATATAATATCAATACGCCCTAACACCAGAACCCCTGACCTAGGAGCCATGAAATTCACAATTTTGGAAGAGGCACTCTTTCTCATCATAACTATGTGCTAAGTTATTTTAAATAATACCCAGGAGCAGAGAAGAAGATTTTCAAAGTAATAATGCACTTTAATTTTCAATACATAATCAATAGAGCCCCGCCCTAACACCAGAACCCCTGACCCAGGGGCCATGAAATTAACATTTTTTGAAGAGGCAGCCTTATTCAACATAACTATGTATTTAATTAGTTTATTTAATACCTAGGAGCAGAGAAGAAGATTTTCAAAGTAATAATGCACTTTCACTAGGCCATCATTAAAAATATCTTTGTTTCCCCTAACCCGACCCTAAAATTTCAAGTTGGGTAGGTAGGTAAATTTTTTTTTTCTGACAGCAGTTTTGAAAATACATTCTGAAAAATTGAATAAAATCTTTATAAAAAAGAAAGAACAAAAGAAACGATTTTTAAACCGAATATGTATCATACAAATGAAATTCAAAAGCAACATGTATGGTAAATTAATTCACAAATATTATTCATTTGAACTTGTGAAATATCTCAGGCCAGCATAAATTTATTGAAATCGAATTTTTACAAAAAGACAAGATTCAAACCTACTATCATCTTCGAGTGCTTACACAGACAAAATGTCAAGGGCCTCGCATTGCGCAGTAATTCTAGTGTTTCGTTTTGGAGTCATGACATAATTCAGGAGCTTATTCTAAGTCACTGGTCCCGACGAGGGACGTGGAGACTGGTCAGTCGAATGAGACCGTAAAAACTTAGGTCCATGCAGTGTCGCAGTTTACATGTAGAAAAAGATCCCTTACTGATGCTTTATAATCAATGGCCATAAGTGCCGAGAAAAAGTCTAAATTAGGAGCCCTCCACCAGGCAGGAGTTCAAATGTTGTTGACCCAACAACATTTAAAGGTATTTTAAAGCAAAGAAACAACCTATTTTCAAGGTCCTAACTAAAGAAAAATACACTGGCCATCTCAGGAAGCTGTATCATAAGCCAATTTTAAAGATTTCAACGCTTTTTGGAAAGAGTGTACCTGTATGAACAATGCAATATTTAATTCAACCAAACCATATCTAGAATGATTAAAATTTCATATATGTAATATTATAGTCACGAAGTTTACCCTATAAATTAAAGGAATGAAGACACGACATCTGAATTACATTTATCAAGATGAAATAATTATACAAACTCCTATGGTCCTATATAGTAAAAATAGAATCATACATGAAGTGTTTATTAGTTCGAAACAAATGAAATGCAGTGAAATTCATTGATATGCATACACAAGGTGGGCCCCTCATCTGCTCATGAGGCACGCTTTGCCATGCTTACTACGTACGTTAATTTTAGAAGACGCATTTGTAACACTCCTTAGTCATGGTACATTTAATTCGCGAAATGTTTCAAGAGTGTAGGATTCTTATAAGTTAAAGATATATATTAAGATTGATACACTGCCGTTGTTTCATAACCTCTGTGGCCACATGTGGGCGCCAAATGAGAGTAAAACAAAAGCCGACGTTCTAATAAAAAACAGACTTTGATGAAATTGTATTTTGTAAAGTTGATAAACATTAAACAAAATTTTGAATAATCTTATTAAAAAAAAATTTCAGTCGGCAGGATTTAAGTGGGTCGGTCGCGTTAGGGGAAACAAAGGTATTTTTTATTTTGGCCCTATATAATCTATATAGCCCCACCCTAGCACAAGAACCCCTGACCCTGTTGTCATGAATTTCACAATTTTGGTAGAGGGGTCAATGCTTATTACATCCATGCCAATAGTTTGACTTCTGGATGTTCATGAGTAAAGAAGATTTTTATAGAATCAATATATTTTCACTATATAATCAATAGAGCCCCTCCCTAACACCAGAACCCCTGACCCAGGGGCCATGAAATTCACAATTTTGGAAGAGGCAGCCTTATTCAACATAACTATGTACTTAGTTTATAGTTTATTTAATACCTAGGAGCAGAGAAGAAGATTTTCAAAGTATTAATGCACTTTCACTATATAATCTATATAGCCCCACCCTAGCACCAGACCCCCTGACCATGGGGCCATGAATTTGATAATACACATAATTATGTATGTGCATGTTTGTAATAATGTATCAAAACACAGTGAAATTTAGGTCCCTGATTTGGAAATAAAAAAAATCTCTTTCAATAGAGACAAATGCACACTGTATTATTTGTTGATTTTGTCAGTAAATACTATAGAATAAAAATAAGAACACACCTATTATATAGGCTTGTGCCAAGTTGTGGTCCCCTTTATAAAAAGAAAAGTCTGAAGAACTTTATTCATTCTTTGTTTTTGGTTGTCTAAAGAAAACCTTTGAAGCCTATCCTTATATGTATATATATTAACTCATATAAAATACTGATGTCAGCTATAATTGCTCTTAAATGTAAAAGTTTTGTTGATTAGAGGAAATTCGAACAAAGCCTAACATAACTATATGGCATGCAGGTCCTAATAGTACCATTGACCTTTAACACCTTTCAAGTTTTTCTACAATTTACTACATATATTTATGAACATGCATCTTCTTTCGACTGCACTTCATTTTGCTATAGATCTTATATGCTTACCAAATCATGATCATTGGGATACATGTGACATTTTCAGTCAGCCAGATCTCGTGGAATGTTCCCGCGAACTTTACTCGGCGATGTGACGTATCGAGATTTTTTTATTTAATTTTTTTTCCGATTTCGCATTGATCATTTTAGATTTAACAAGAAATTAAATAATTTGAAAATCGATAAATAAATTAATATTTATTTTATTTTTTTGAAGCGATGACCAATAGTATTCAAGAGTTGATTTGCTGCTATTTACAGTTGTTTTTAAAGATAATAATGGACCGTGGTCTATTTTATATCATATTGCTAGCCTTTGCTAGTCGAAGCTAATAATATACATGTACCGTGGAAGACCGCACGGTCTAAAAGTCAGACTTTATGAGTCTTATAAGCATGCAAATAACACTAATAAGTTTGTTATAGTAGCAGCTAAAACTATCGGATGGGATAAACTGAAAGTATCCCATCTGTGTTTTTTTTTTTAGATATAAGACTGAAAATGGCAGCTAGTACATGTAAACACTTTTCCAAGTTTCGTTTTCTCTGAAAGCGAGAATGACTGCAGTTCTAAATATGTTATCAAGCTGTGAATATGGAATATCCTCAGTTTATTATTTTTCAGAGACCATGACAAAAATCGTAGACACCAACACTTCTGCTATTGTTCTGTCTGTCGTGTTGCCGACTGCTGGGATATGTATAATTTCTGCCCTCTGTTATATTTTTTTCTACTGGTGCTTTAGGTACCACTTATGTAGGGGCAATAAAGCAGATCGAGGTGAGTGTCAGCACGCATACTTATACCCCGACCCCCTTTTTACATCCCCGGGAATTTCTCATTTTTATCAATTAAATATTAGTTCGATATAAAGAATTATACTGAATAAAAATATGCATTTAATACCTCTAGTTCACAGACACTTGTTTCGTATATGGGGTCCCCCTTCATTTTTTTTAAGAAAAATACAGGGATGACTCCAAATACGCCTGTGCCTGTAATCTAGTTATCAGCATTTGCTTTTGCTCCTACTTACATGTATATAGGTTAGTGGACTGGTTAATTATTCTCTGCATGTACTTAAGGCAAAAGCTAGAAAATCTAGCATACAAATCTTGTAATTTGTTTCGAATTCGTACGTAATATTTAATATATTTCAGGCACAAAATATTTTGACGTCTTATTGTACAAGGACGATGATCATACAGCGGAGGCGACGAGACTGAGAGACGAGCTGGAACGTTTAATGTACACAGTGTGTACACCGGAGGATAGTTACAAAGGTTAGTGTAGTTCAAAGCAGCTGAGGTTTCACGATTTTGTTATTTGACATACCACACGTCAGAAACGGCGCCATTATGGGAAGTAAAAAAAAATGTATCGAAAATCGACCCAAAAATATGGCCTCCTGTTTTCATTATGGCGCCTTTTCATGGGTTCTGACGTTTTCCTGGCACGTCAAATATCAAAATCGTGAAAAAGTCTGGAAAACATATTTCGGACTAGGGTTAGAGGTATAATCATCAACGTGCGAACTCGCGAATGATCGACAAAATACATTATTCTTGTACAAAAAATGTTCACAAGCGCTCGCGAGCGTAAGCTGCGTCGAAAAGACATCAGCTTTCGATGGTCTCGTCTGATGAATGAATAATGTAAATTTTTAGACCTTGGCAATGGCCAATGAATGAATAAAATCAACATTTTCAAATGAAAATGTCAGGAATCATATCACGGTTCCTATACGTTCAATCATCAAGGCGAAGTTTTCCATTGATCCCCTCCCCCCTTTATTTTTAAAAATCGATCTCGGAAGGTGACGGCCTCAATTTAATAGTCTACGATCGCTACAATTGTCGTTTACTGATTTTCGTGTACTTATTTAATTTTCAAATAAAAATCAGTAAACGACACTATTGTACCCGACGAAAAACTATGCCCTCTTTGTCTTTAACATTCCGAAGATACAACATCCTCACACTCGGGGCTCCACTCCTTGTGAATGAAAAACTGAGTGTATTTACCAATAACCAATTATAATCTGTAGTGTAACTAATGCCTAAATTTTTTCTAACAAAAATATTTATGTACTAAACAGAAACTGATTAATACCATTAAATGTCGCCGATTTTAGCTTGCCCGACAGTTATTTTTGATATCCTGTTTTATCCGGGCTCCCCTTCCCTATAAACTGATTGTTAAATCTTATTTTATTTAGAAAAGAAAAAATAAACAAGTTGCATATTCATAAATTACAGTAAATTCATGTGTTTTATTTGGAACTTATGATAACTTCGTTGAAATTGATCTTTAATTAAGAACCCAAATTCAGAGAACAAATCATCTATTTCGTAAAATATTTTAGTATGGAGGAATACCGTGAATAATAGCTCATTTCAAAATTAAACGACCCCCACACCACTTAGCTCGGATTGATTGAAAACGAACTAGAATTTCAATCCAATGTTTTCTCAAAGGTCCGTGTCGAATTATACCCGCCCATTTTATTGCCTATCATCAAATGTTTTGACTTTAACAGATGGAAATGACTTATGCTGCATATTTCTAATCCTACCAGTTAATGTTCCGCTGTCTTAAGCCTTGCTGGCCCATACCTAAGTTGCGGTATTCTTAAATGTGGGTAGAAAATGCATTCTCATTAGTGTACTGTCATTATTATAAGTGAGATGCATGCTGACTCGCGGTTACAAGAAAATCAATTGCTAGGGTAACATCATGGCTTAATATTTTAAATCTATTTATAGGTGGAGAGATGCAGAGCCTACAGGAATTAATAGATTCCAGTTCCAGTGTTATCTTCTTCTGCAGTTACAACGACAAACTCATGGATACAATCCTAAGCAAAGCACAAGAAAACCTCTCCGTCTTTGTGATTCGAAAGAGCAAAGAGTCCAAGAAAATTAGTAGACTACGTAACAAATCAATGGCTGGTTTTAAAGAACTTTGCTGGCCTTCACACCGCGAGAGTTCTTTTGTTTGTGTAAGATGGTGGAAAGATGAGTTCTATTACAGGCTTAGATATGGACTCCCCAAGCCCAGATCAGACCAATACTCACACGAAGAAGAACAAATCGAAAACAAAAGAGGAATGCATACTGATATTAACCGCTGGGAAAACGAAATGAACAAATTATAGACTGTACAAGCTAAGCATGCAAAAGAACAACCGAATATTGCCTTTGAATTTTTAACTTATTACTTGTGTTTCAAACAATTTTTTTTGGGGGGAGAGGGTGGAGTGGGGGGGGGGTTATGACTTGTCCCCTAATGATGCAGGAATGAGTTTCCCATAGGCCACAGCACTCAGCTGAGTCACAGATATGTTGATATTGTAGCCTTGAACTTTATCTCCATGAATTCAATACGTTTATTTACAAAATCGGAATATTTCAGTCAGGGTTATGAATTGTAGTCTTGTTGTTCATGCAAAGTTTAATATGTTTCTATATCAAAAAGATATAGTCTCAAGAAATTATTTCTTTTAAATAAGGCTATTACACCATAGCATAAAACAGAAGGTTTTCTCATTATAAAATGACCAACTATGAGGAAAAACCATTGTTACGTCATCAGAGACACCAAGGTGACATTTTGTCTGTCGTCGTGTTCATCAGAAGATCTGAACACTTTGTCAGAATTGAGTAAGTGTTTTGGCAATATAAAGAATCACATAAGCAATTTAAAAGGCATTATGCGAACCATCTATCTTTTCTTTTGTACTGAATCGGAGGTGATAAAAGAATTAGGAAGATTACATGAACAACATGTTATGGTTGATTTAAACAATATTTATTCAAAATAATAAATAGATTGGGCAACAGGCAATGCCTATAAATACCTTCTCCATAACATGTTATGGTTCCAGCTGACAAGGCTTGGAACAATATCGTCTTTGTTTGCAAGGCTAATTGTCATAACTGTAATTTAGAACTTGGTTTTAATTCTGCTTCTGGAATTCCAACAAACTCGCAGTTCATTTTCTAAAGAAGAAACTCTTCAAAATAACATTTCAGTGTGTAATACTTTTAACATTCCAGTCAACCAAGGTGAGTTCCTATACCTATACTGGATTCCTAAACTTCATAAAAGTCCTTACATTTAGAGATACATTACCGGTGTTGTAGAGTGAGACTTCCGCCGTAGTTGGACTTCCCCCGGAAGTCTGGCTCTAGAGTGAGACTTCCCTTGAAAGTCTGGTTCTAGAGTGAGATTTCCCCCTGGGGGAATTCTGACTCCAGAACGGGAGGACTCCCGGGGAAGTTTCATTCTAAAGCCACACTTCCCTCTAGGAAGACTTACTCTGCTGCTAGGTGTAGAGTCAGACTTCCCCCATAGCAGCCCCGCCCTCCATTTAATCTTGCTCTTACTTGTACTGCAACCACTCTTTAGAGATTATTTAGTTACCAAACCTTTACAGTGGTGCATATATTGCCCCCGCTTTCGCTGAAAGTGGAGGATATTAATTGGGGTCTGATTATCCGCTTGTCCGTCCGACTAGCTGTTATTCAGTCTATGCGTTTGAGCTCTTTAAATAAAATTTTATATCATTATTTCCTATTTTAGGCTTAGATAAGTATACCGTACTCATAAGTTTAACATAGTATGAAATAAAAGTTAAGACAACATGAGCACTACTTTTGTGTTAATTAATATTTAAATAACTTAAAGTATAAATTTTAGATCCTCCTTTTCCTTTCCAATAAGTTGACAAATTTGAAATTTACCTAAATGAGGATGGGGTGTTTCCTCTAGAGGAAGACTTCAACGGTGAAACATGGCCGTAGAATCGACCTTTCACAAGGGGATAGTACCAATCTAGAACAATTCTTGCGAGGGGAAATAAGGCTGCAAAGTGAGGCTATCCCCTTGGGTAAGCTTGCTCTCTTTGGATACTTTAGAGGGGAAGTATGCCTCTGGAGGGGAAGAATGGCTCCAGAGGAGGGGAAGAATGGCTCTACAGTAAGAATAGAGTAGAATAGCTCTAGAGTAAGAATTTCCCCTAGGGGGAAGGGGGGTGGCTCCCTCTAGAGAAAGACTTTTGGGGGAAGTCTCACTATCGGGAAAAGTTTCGTTCTACAACTCCGGGTCCAGCAAATCCTCTCCCAAGTCCCTGTCTTTACTTCTTACAAAAATATTAACTGTTGTAAAGGAGAAACTATAGTATATTCTAGAAGTGATGTAAATCAGATGTGGATTCTCAAAAAAGCAAGAACATTCAAAATCGCCAATTTTTTCAAAAGTTATCTTCACGTTTTTCATCATAAACTTTTGAACATTTTCGGCTTCTTCTTCCCTGGAACCCCTGAACCAATTTCAACCAATTTTGGCTCACACACACACAGAGACATATATATATATATAGAGAGAAAAAAAGATGGATATTGACGAAGGCTGAGGAATGGGAACAAAATCTTCAGATACCTTTATCTTCACTCCTTGGCATCTAACAAGCAAATTGTTGGCATCAGGAACCTTTTACCAAAACTATGATTTCGAAATTATTGTACCCTGTGATCAGGCTCCAGGGCGGGGTTGAGTTGGCCATATATAAAAATGTTTTACTCATGGACATACACATACATAACAGGTAAACAGGAAACAGAATTATAACGAATTCTTCACCTTTTGCCAAAATTGTAAAATTCATTGCCCCTGAGTCCATGGTGGCAGGTCATAGTGTTGGGCTTAGTCAGTCACATACTAAAAACACAGTACATCTTTAAAATCTTTTCTACCCATTTAGCAGGCGAAATGTACATGTTTGAATGATTATTATGATGATAAACACTTAGCCGTCTATCCAAATTGTGAAATGCATGACCCCTGATTCAGGCCCCAGGGAGCGGCGAATTGATCAAGTATTGAAAATACACTATAACTTCGAAAATCTTAACGCATGGACATCAAGCATGAAAACTGCTTGCTCTGTTGCAATGAGTACTTAATCCTTTTACAAAATAGAAAATTCATGGATCCTGGGTAGAGCGCCCAGGTCCCATAAGTTGCATATGCATGTGTTTCTAACAGAAAACGGAAAAAATCTCTAGGTTTACTGAAAATAGGTATAATTAAATTTAAATCTTTCGTCTTGAAATATAAATTTTTCATCATGATTTATGAAATCTAATTGCTAATAAAATCAAACTGTAATAATGAATAATATCACGGCCTCAATATCAAATGTTGATCTAGGCATCTATCATTGTAATGTAGCTCAATAACTAACCCCTGAAATAAAAGAGACTATCGTGCGCACGTATCTTAATAGTTTTGATTTTTTTAAACTAGGATAACTAGTCCCTAAAATAGGCCCTCCCCTTCTTTTTTTCATCCTCTATAAGTTGATTGTATCATACAAAATTCATATCGTAATTGTTAGAGATAAAGATTTCTAGTATTATGATACTATATGTATAAATATAGTAAAAATATTTTTATTAAGCAGTTAAGATTCATGTGTAGAAGTGATGATTTACACGCTAATTTATACCTACGGGATTCAGAATTGGCGTTATCTTTCGGATTAAAAGACATGTAAACTTTGCGTTTGATCATATTTAATGACAAGGGCGGGTTGTTTTTGTAAAAATGGCGGGTTTCTCTGCGGAGAGTTCTAACCGGGCGCATTGTCCTAAGAGCGAGTTTTCTTACGGTCGTTCTGTCTAGCATTGTAGCGCACGCGCAATCTGAGTTTTCCCTATCACATCCGGTTTAATCTTGCTTACATTTTTTCTATTCTTTTACAGTGATGCGCATTGAAGTGATTTTTTTTTTTTGAATGGAGTATTTGGGTCTTTCTTAGAGAATGTCAATTGTTACAAAATGACACTTCAATTTCTTTAGAAAATAGAAAGCAATTATATTCGTAGCAGTTTTAATACATCCCACTCTCTGCCACTAATGTAGCAACGCAAGTTTTGCTGATATTGGGATTTTTTGAAGTTAGGAGCAAGTTTTCGAGTCCTCATGTAATGCAACTGATATGCACATGTACACGTACTTATCATGTTAATTGAAGTTATCAATATATGTACCGATCGAACCCGGGTGTTCAGGTTAAACTTGCCAATCTGATAGGCTATTCTATTGATAGAATATATGTTCTACAGGTACTAGTATTCGAATGATTTACGACATTCATGTGCTCTCTCTGTCTCTCTCTCTCTTAATGCAAACTGGTATTTCCCCGCCCACTCGACCCTACAATATGTTATTTTCTTTCATTGCTAATATTGTTTTTTTTTTGTCTTTATAACTATAAAAGAGTTTCAAAGAAGATGTGAAGATTTACTTTCGAGAGCTCTATTGTAACTTCATAAATGTGTTATTCATTTTAACATTTTATTAATGTTCGTTTTAGTAAAAAAAAAAAAAATAAAAACAAAAACATTTTTCTCCTTTCTAAAAAAAAAATGAGCGTTTCATTATGTAACAACCAAAGTTCAAAAGAAAGCACAAAACATTACTGTAACATTCAAACGTAAAATTTTACAACTTCAAATGTAGTCATCATTTTATTTACAACTTTACCATGAGGCCCATGGGCCATATCGCTCACCTGAGCACTTTGGCTAGAGAAAATCAGAAATCAGTTCAGTATTGAAAAATTTAAATATAATAAGATGTCACACCTACCCCCAATCCAGAAAGGGCTGGGGATGAAGCATGATTTGAGCGAAACTGAATCTACACTAACCAAGAGTGCTTCCATATTTACGTATATGGCTTATCGTGGCTTTAAAAGATTTTTACAGATCTTCTCCTTTGTATCCTACGTTAAAGTTTGATCTTCTATTCTGACCTCGTCCAGCTCCTACCCCCTGGGAACATGATTTAAAAAAGCTATGATCTACACTACTTGAGGATGTTTCCATATTGATATACTAATCATTGCTTTGCTGTGATTGAAAAGAAGACTTTTAAAGATTTATCCTATATATTCCTATGTAAAACTGTGATTGTCCATTGTGGCCCCACCCTTCCCTTGGGGTCATGATTTGAATCTGCACTACCTGATGATGCTTCCAAATTAATAAGAATTATCATGACTTTGCTGTTTTGGAGAGGAAAATTTTTAAAGATTTTTCCTATATGCAGGTGTATTCTTTTGCAGAACTTTGATCGCCCATTGTGGTCCTATCCTACTCCGGGGTCAAGATTTGAATCTATATTATATGAGGATGATTTCATATCAATATGTCTAACCATGGCTTACATGTAGCTGTCTTGAGAAGAGGATTTTTAATGATTTTTCCTATATATTCCTATGTTAAACTTTGATTGCCTAATTAATGTGTCCCAACCCTAGTCCCGGGGGGCTTCCATATAAATATGACTAATTATGGCTTTATTGTTCTTGAGAAGAAGATTTTTAAATATTTTTTCCTATAGATTCCTATGTAAAACTTTAATCGCTTACATGTACAGAGGGTACGCCCTAGTCCAAGGATTCATGATATGAACAAACTTGAATCTTCACTACACGTATGTAATGAAACTTTCACATAAGTTTTATCCTTTCTGGTAATTGAGAGGAAGATTTTAAAAGGATGCAATTATTTTTTCCACAAATTCTTAATTATCTCCCCTTGAAAGAGAATGTGGTCCTTCATGTGAAGAAACTTAAGTTCCCTTTACCCAAGAATGCTTTGTTGCAAGTTTGGTTGAAATTGATCCAGTGGTTCTTGAGAAGAAGTCAAAAAAGTGAAAAGTTTACAGAGGACACACCACGGACGACAGATGACAGACACACGCCAGACACCCTTTGATCAGAAATGCTTACATGAGCCTTCTGCTCGGGTGAGCTAATAGTGTGGCTGTTTCTTTTCGGAAAGGAAAAAGGAACATTGAGTAAAGCATTTTGTTTAATAGGATATAAAATTCTGAAATAAAAATGGATTGCACACTTCATGAATTTTTAAAATCCTAAGGCATTTCAGTTTAATTTCTTGCAGTACAAAATATTTTTTGAAAAAAGATTTTTCCCTTTGGTGTCCATGGAAGTATTTCCTTTTTCTCTTTTTAAAATCAAATAATAAAAATCATATATATATTTTTCAAAATCGAAAGGAAAGTTATGAATAAAATAGTAAACAAAAAAAAAAAAATTCTCAAATCAATGCCAACATAACCTTTTAGATACTGGCAAGTTTCTGACTTTGGCAACCTCCAAACTGCCCAGTTTAGAAATGTCAGCAACATTGTTAAATTTGAAGATGAGTGAACATGGCGAGCGCAATGTCTATAGAGCAACAAACATGAAGGTGAAAAAAGAAATCTCAGTTATAACAAAATTTCCTTTGATATACAGTGTATCATCTAAAATTAAAATATACTTTATGTAAAATTACGGAAGCCCGTTGAGGCCAGTTCAGAGAAAGAAAGATTTTTTTATTGCTTTCAAACGCAATAATTATTGTGCTTAAATGCAAAACGCAAATTAAACAATTTATGAAGGCTTAAGTTGCTAAAACAACGGTGCATTCTTCCAAAATCTAAAATGGTTTTGTATATATAATGCAAAAACATAAAGAAAAAAAATGAAATCCTCCAAATTAAAATACAAATTTACTCCAATTTATACCATCTAACAAATTGATTTGAATCTTAACGGGTGATCCCCCCCCCCCCAAGAAAATACGATCAAATCCTCCCTTTCTCCAGATTTTGGTATCCTATAACTTTTAATACATTTTCTGATTTGATTGTCTTTATGGATCCGCCTTTGGCTGGGCATTCCAAGGTCATCATCTAAGTGAGAACGATCTATCTGAAGAACAAAGGCTTCCCATCGAAAGCAACGAGCCTCTGACACGAGGTTGTCACCCCTGTAAAAACTTGGACTCGTCCAATACCCGATTTTCTTTTCCGTTTTGTCAAATGAAAACATGAGCACGTAATGGTAACGTTAGGAGACTGAGGTAATGAGCGAACCACGTTCCCCCGATATCGGGAGGGACACAGAAGGGGTACCATGTTCCTGTAGCCCCCGTTTGCCATTGGACTGGCTGGACATCAAGCAGGAAGAAGAAGAGCGGAAAATGTGTGGGAGGGAGCAGGTAAGTCTTGTGACAGCGATCAGCTGATTGAGATGACATAATTAATTCTTCATTATATTATTAAATGTTCACAATGTCCACAATTGTTTCTGCGTTTAAAATTGTTGCAGAAGCTGCAGCTGCCTTGACTTTCTTATTACACTTTTCTGTCAGTTTGGCACAGAAGTTTGTAGAAGAGAATTTTTTTTCGGTATTTGCATTGTGCAGATTAAAGAGCGGACAGTATTAAAACATTAGTTATGGGAACAATTTTAATTGTCATGGGAGGATTAATCAGATCTGAAGTGTAATCACGAGCTTTACTTCACTTAGCTTTGACCAAATACGGTCTCGATATTTTTTTTTTCAAACTGTGTTCATCAGTGAATCCTTTGAGACAAAAATAGACCACACGTCGCATTGCTGACAAAGGCCCCGAAGTGTAGACTGGATCACGCTGGCCATCATGTTTTCGCCAAAAACCAGTTCATTGAATGTAAAACCTGACACAAATCTTGAACAGTCTTGAAATATGGCTTATATCAATATAGCGTTAATACATTGGAAGAGTGGTTTCATTTCTCTCTCCTCACTTCTATACAAAAGATTTTTTTTCTCCTTCAAAGTTATGTTTTACTATTATTTTCTAAATGATCGCCTCTCTTCAAAATATTCATTCAATCAGTCTAGCTGCACGTCAGTGTGAGAATCGTTTTAGGATAAATATTTTAGTTTATATTTAGCCGGCGCAGGTGCTTGGGGACGGGACTACCTCTCCGCTTAAAATATTTTTCTATTATTTTAATGGTTTTACAAGTATTTTACAAGTATTACAATTAAAAAAAATTAAAATATAACCTAAATCTATAAAAATTCACACTCACTGATACTAAAATAAAGTAAAATATTGTAAATAGACAACCCCACCCATATATATATATATATATATATATATATATATATATATATATATATATATATATATATATATATATATATATATATATATATATATATATGGCTCTAAATTTGCTCTTGAGTACATGTACATTTGGGAGGACAAATAAAGAATTCTGTAGACACGTTTTTTCTTAGATTTCTTTATGTGTATTTGAAGTTTTGACTCTAAATAGGATAAAAAAAATGTTTGAATAGATAATTAAGTCAAAAATAAATATTTTATTAATGTTTGAAATATGTGTCACGTAACACATGACAGACAAATAACGTAACATGACAGACGTATAATAAAACATAATTAAATTACATTTCTGATGCTTAGCAATACAAATAATCTGCAAAAAATAAAATTAAATAATTCCTTAAACAATGCAATTTTTTTTTCACTCTTACGTAGAAGAAAAAGGATTTTTAAGCTACTTTTGATGCACAACTGATGATCGTAGCACGGACAGACTCCTTTACTTAGCCAGCCAAATTTAATCAACCATAAACTTTCATTATTTTATCAAAAAGATAATGTTGCCGTAAGAAATGGACATTTTTCAAATTTTGATTCCTTATAGATTTCAAATTCGAATTTTTGAAAAATAAATCTCTGCTATACGCTTTGTAACATACAAAATGTCCACCATGTCTGTCATGTTACGATATTTCTTGAGCAATACCTGTTTGAAACGAGCCAATAAAATTTATCATTCAAAGCTTATCTTTTATTCTTGGAAATTATAATACACAAGACATTATATTTATGAAAATACTAATGAAATTTAAAAAAAGTAAATTATTTCATATAGATCAAACCTATATATCGTAACATGTACGGATGCACGTAACCCTGACAGACTCGTTTTAAAAACTGCAAGAAACCACACTACAAAATTGTATTGTTTAAGTTATGAAGACAAATTTTGCCTTCTGATACATTAATATTCTTAAATAAAAATACTTTTTGGTTTAATTCACTGAACGTATAAATCTGAATGCACCCGTTTGATTCACGTAACATGAACAGACATTCGTTTTGTCCGTCACCGTTACGATAGTATTCAGGCAATGTCTGTCAATCGGTGCGTTATGTAAGAAATGTCAAAGAGCAAGAGCCACTTAGGGCCTTTTTTGGCCCTGTGAATTTCTGAAAATTCAAAACTGTATAGTTTTAGTCAACAAGGCAATAAATTATACTTGAGCACTTGATGAATGAATATCTACTGACAATGACGTAATATTCTTTCTAGTCAATGCATTATGACGTCATGAATTACATCATTATTCACATATCCTGAACATTTCTTCAAAAATGGCCAAATATGATGCCATTTTTCAATATTTCGTATACAGCACAACCTCCGATCCAAAAGGTGTAAATATATTATAGAAGAACTGTTAATGGAGATTGTAAAACATATTTTAATTTTTGGATCCAGAGGTTTGCTTATATTTTAATTCTTTGTTGAAGGTTCTCAAAAACACCTGTTTTCTGCAAAATTCAATAACATTGCAATTTCACACAACCTGTTTTTTAATGTCTGGACTCTTCAAAGGAAATTCTGTTATATATATACTGAAAGCACTAAGTCTCTACTTTATATTAATGTTGAAAATGGTACACGGGGTTTTAGTCAATAAATTGGTATATCTACAGGGCCATTTTATGCATAAAGTGAACCTAGCTCTTTTAAGTGTTTATGTAGTGATGAAGAGCGTGCAAGTTCATATTAAAAAAAAAAAATCCAAAATACACCTACTAGTTGACAATATTTAAGAAATAAATAACAAGTTTAAAAACTTCAATGGGAATTGAAGTGGGTCGGTCACGTGATCAAATCCTGTGAAGGCCGAAGGCCTTCTCAGAAGATTTGATCACGTACCGACCCACTTCAATTCCCATTGAAGTTTTTAAACTTGTTATTTATTACTTATATATACATTTGAGATGGACAATTGAATGTAATCGAATATAAATATTGCACTAACCGCACGTCGTAGATTTCGACAAATTACGCTAGGTGTAAATCGGCTTGAAAAGCGGTTACGCTTCAAATTCATCTGGCAAAGGATTCTGTTTTGAAGGGAATATTCTGTGAAAGGCTACTTGCGATCAATTATAGTGAGCATATTGGTGTCTGGGAATTTTTGTTTTCATGAGAACCCATATTCGATGTTAAAAAACACAAGAAACACGTCCGATGTTTGATAATAAAAAGTTGGAGGAATTTCGGTAGGAAAGGGATGGATGGAGACACTTGTCCGGACCAGATAACTTGAAATCAAGTACAAAATTTGATCAAAACCATAAAATCTACGATTTCAGTGAGGCATATTTATATTAATTTATGATGTTGACATGGAGACACTGGTGACAGCTTACATTGTTAAGACAACGTCACAACGATCTCGATGATGGAGGTGTGCCTACCGAACTTCCAAAGTGCAGTGTTTGTCAGCTGTTTGTGGCGTGATTGCATTACATTGATATTTTTCAACAGATTTTCAAATTTATTGTGAGTAAAGTTTAACGAAAAAAAATTATAGCATTCAGAGGTCTGCGAGAAAAATAAGGGTAAACGTTGAGACTATGCAGCTCAGACATGGAACTTATAACATGTAGTTTTCTATTCTCTATGTAAAACCGATCAAAAACTGTATTAAATACTCGTTTACATTGTAAATAAAATGATTATTATAATTTACTAGAGTATTTTGTACATTTTTATGTATGAAAAACATGCTATATTGCTTAGTGGAGTAAGTCTTTTTATGTAGATATTACTGCGCTGTGTGATTGGGTCACGTAATGACCTATGACCTTCGAAAAACTTAATACAGTTATGAAGATATTTGCTCTCTGCATGTTTATATAATAGAGAGATACCACAAATGTATATATTTGATGATATGTGTTTAAAATCTAGGATAAAGACAACTTATATCTTCATGAACGTAACATACTTTGTGTAACGTAACACTTGACAGACAGACGTTCGTGGCTTCTCGGGCTCTCTCTCTGTAGCTCTTCTTATCGAAATGTAAACACATTTGCATAGAACACTGGAGAAAATTTAAATATTCATAACCTTTAAGTCAAATGTATAAGAAGAAGCATCTCCGAGCTCCATTCTTAAAATAGAACGTAATGCCCACTTGCCATGATAGACACAGGAAGCATCCCGCAGATTTGTTAATTTCTAAGCACACGTGCTTTTCTGTTGAATCTGTGATCACTTAATTGATAAATAGGTAAATTTTCTATCAGTAGACTAGAAAGATAAAATAGTTTGCAAAAACAATGGCCCATTTTATAACAATGTACCCGGTGTATTGAGACCGACAGACGTTACGTTCAAAATATGAGAAGAAATAAATTCCTATTTTTCTTTTATTTTAGACATAATGTGCATTAAAAGACTTTTGTATGTTAATTTTATCCTTCCTAAACAGTATATATCCTTATCTGACCATTACCCTATTTGTGCAACCCGGAAATCTAATTGCATGCAACGTAGAAACAAACATAGAGAAATTAAATATCGTGATTTCAAAAACTTTAACGAATCAAATTTCCTGTCTGACTTAAAAAATGAAAATTTTGATAGTCTTGCAAAATAACATGATCCTAATGACATTCTTATTCTGTGTACAAGGTATTATCGCCGTATATTTGTCTTTTATTTTGACATGGTTGAAAATGTCCCCCTACACATGCGTAATTCTAGTGCAATTATCAAATTCATTTCAAGAAAAAAAAGTAAGTTGATGAAAAAATCTGCTAATACTATCTTTTTTATATATTTGCAATATACTTTTCATAATAAAACATTTCTTATGTCAATTTTTTAAATAATATATTTTATATTCCTCTTGTTAAAATCATAGGTCAAGATATACTCAAGAGCGAATTTAGAGTCATATATATATATATATATATATATATATATATATATATATATATATATATATATATATATATATATATATATATATATATATATTTCAGATGATAAATGGTCCATGTACCCCGTCAGACACCGATACCCTGGATCCATCGTTAGTGGATTCTGGATACAACGAGGGACTTCATCTCCAATGTCTGGAGAGCGTGTTAGACTGGAGGATCGACAAAGTCTATTTGACCCCTGATGACCTGGGGAGTTTCCAGTTTCGACCCTGTACTCTCCAGACCACAGATCACTCTGGATTTGAAGAACATCTTGACGAAATATATCAACACCGCCTAAGTATAGAATACAAATATCAAGTGACGTCATGTCTGGATAACCAACCAGAGGTATGATACTTAGGGCAGCTAACCAGTGAAAAAAAAAATTGTTGACTTTATTTATATCTTTAATTTCTATATCTTCAAATCATGGATATTAGGTATCAAGACATGTGTGTGTTCTAGTAAAAGGAAAAAAAACCCAGTTTTTATCAGTTTAGTAAAGTCATTGAAGTGTTGTATTTTTTTTTTGCACCATAGTTAACTCCAGGTATGCGAGGACTTCTGATCAGCTGGTTGACAGGAATTCACCACCAATTAAACCTTTGTCAGGACACTCTATTTGTGGCAGTCAATATCGTAGATCGAGTTCTAGATCTCATGCAAGCCTCACGAGACTATCTACAGTTACTTGGAATAACATCATTATTAATAGCATGTAAATCGGTAAGTCACTTGTCAAAAACAAGACGTATTCTATTTTTTTTTTTAAAAAAGGCTCTCTGTTAGTGCTCTGGCTACATTTTTTAATCAGTTGCTAAGATACCAGTTATTAATGGTTCAACAGGAAGAAATACATCCTCCTGAAATTAAGGATCTCTTGAGCGGATGTGATGACGTGTACTCACGTGACCAGGTGAAGCAACTAGAACGGGTCATTCTGAATGCTCTCCGATTTGATTTGCTGGTTCCCACCTCCCAATACTTCCTGGAATACTTCTCATCTTGTGTCATCAGCAACTTCACTGGTTTCCACGGAGATCGCCTGAGGTATGTGTCAACAAAATAATATATTACGACACTAGATTAATGTCATTATTATAGTCAACAAGTATTTGGACAAAGTCAAGGTCGCGTTGCTAGGTTTGAAGCGTACTCTACATTAGTACAATTTTCTTTTATGCTTGAACTTTCAGTAAGGCATGACATTCTCGTCGATACATAATTAGCGTCTCTCAGATGGTGAAAATCACGAACCCGATTTTTAAATGAGCGGTATAATACTTGTCCGATCGGGCAAGTGAATTTTTTCTCATACAAATGTACATATTTTTTTTAGTTTACATTAATTTATAAATAAAAACAATAACTTGAACACTTGATTTCCGCCACGCACCGGACTGACAATGTTTTTAGATTCGGAATTTCTTGCTAGCGTTTCTGGATTATACCGCTCATTTAAAAATCGGGTTCGTGATTTTCTTTCGTAGTAAATAAGCTATACGTCTAACAAAATTTTAACTTTTTATTAGGAAATTAGATTATTTATTCAAGCACAGAATAAAAGCACAGTGTAACACGATGTATCCTGATCAAGATAAGATGTATCTTCCTTAAGCGTTGTTTCACAGTTATCTCTGAAAATCACTAATCACAATAGGATCCTACCAAAAATAATTTTAAAAATATGAATTTTATTAAAAGGAAATGGAGGGTTATTGTTGCATGGCAGTGTGTGTTAACAGGTTAAAGGATGACTGCACTTAAGGACATGCCAAATTTGCGACAAAATAAACTTTCAAAACAAACATTTTTCTTTTCATTTCAATAATGGTCAACATCCAATCTACAACTTTATGTAATTACGTTTAATAAAAGTGTGTATTTACGAAGTTCGAATCTGTTTTCAAAGGCAGGGGTCATCACAATTTCTTGAATCTCCGTTCGATAATGAGGACGCCCACTTTTTTACTGACTTTATACATAGTCAGCGCATGTTTGTCTATTATTCTACGTTTAACAGTAGTTGTATATTTGCATAAATAACAATATGTCAAAAGGAGATTAATAGACAAACATGCGCTCATGATTAAAAAGAGAAAAAACTGCTTCTTCTTACATTCGCTCTCCGTGTTGTAACCAAGGATTGTGACATGTTGAATATTATAATTCACCACGTGATTTCTTACATCAGGTAACTTTGTGAATACTAAATTCCGTCACGTGACTTGTAAGGTAGCATGTTTTGTGCTAACTAGGATATTGTGTTCGAACACGTTAAGTCATCTGGCATTGATATAAAATCTGCTTTAATCACTTTGACGTGCTCATATTGTTCATTTCGTTTTGAAACCTTTGTCAGAAGTGTATTTGTGCCCTACAGAATTGAGAGGGAGATTGGAAAGAGTGATCAGGTTCTTCTTTCTAAACATGTCATTGTTATTTATCAAGTCTAATTTTAGACCCATTCTTACAATGTTAGCTCCACCTCTCATGCATAACTAATGTTCAATCAAGGGCAGGTAAGTGTAAATTCACTATATTTGGAAAGCAGTAAGGACAAAAAACATTGAATCATTTTATTGTATCACAGTCTAAAATCATTTTAAGATTTAAATTTGGTCCCAAATTGACAGGATTCTTTCATAAACATACAAAAGTTAAATAAGGCTTAGATATAAAAGCAAAAGAAGCAACCGAAAAAGACCCAAAAACAGGCGTTAAGTGCAGTCATCCTTTACAAGTACAGCGGTTTAATTTATGTACAAATGCAGCATGCATCGACATTTTTTCAGGTAGCTAAATTTGCCAAATTGACAGTAGTGTATTTGGTCACTTTTTTTTCTTAGCATAACGTTTACAGTAATTAATAATTTTCGTCGTAAGTTCTTTCCTAGTTTTGGGCAACCAAGTTTTGTATTCGGACAAGTCAAAATTTGAGATCACTTGCCCGAAGTGCAAGTGAATCTGAAAGTTAATGTCTATCCCTGATATGTTATTTACGTTCAAATTAAAGTTTTCACTGATTTTGAACTTGAATAACCTCATGTTTCCTTAGTTAAATTGACTTTAAACTGTGTCTGTTATTTAAATGCGGAGTCGGTAAATAAATCGGTTATTATTTTAAATTTGTAATATCTTTGAGACGTGATTGAATTAAATTGTGTAATTTACAGGCAAGTCCTATCTTTATATAAAGTAATAAAACAAATAGAAAGATATTTTTAATTTTAGTTAGTCTGAACTTAAACAAATATGCCGTATATGACTTTAAGTGAAATGCTGAATATATTTGATGAACACTTTAAACTAAACATAATTATTTCTGATTTTATAGACCTAACTTTTACTGCTGAAAATTAACTTACGTTACGATTAAATTTCGTAAAGATCCCCCGCCCCGAATTTTAATACCAGATTCGTGCCAGACAACAAAAAACATGTTTTACTGTTCTATACTAAGAAAATAGGCCAATCAAATCGGTTTATTAGGTCAATTGAGTCACTCAGGTGACCTACTGCTACATGTACATGTATCTGTTTTCGTCCGTCGTTGTGCGTTAACATTTTAGCATTTGCAGCTTCTTCTCTGCAACTGAACCAATTTCAACCAATTTTGGCATATAACATCTCTAAGTGAAGGAGAACAAAAATTTTGAATTACATGGTCCCTGTCCCAATGGGGCCTTAGGGGTGGGACCAAAACCATCAAAATGAATGCAATCTTTAAAAATCTTATTTACTTCTGGTCATCAAGCAGTCAAACTGTTGGCATGAATGTAATAAGCACTTACCCCTCTACTAAACTGTGAAATTCATTGCCCCAGGGTCAGGGATTTTTATGATCATATAGTGAAATGCATTATTTCTTTAAAAATCTTCTCTCCCCCTGTATGTTTAGAAAATTAACTAGGTGCATGATTGTGATAAGCAAGGGTGCCTCTTCCAAAATTGTGAAATTTGTGGCCCCAGGGTCGGGGATTTTGATGGTAGGGCGGGCTCTTGTGTTCATGTAGTGAAAATGCATATATTCTTCAAAAATCTTCTTCTCTCCCCCTGTATATTCAGCATATAAACTAGGTGCTTGGTTATAATGAACAAGGAAACCTCTTCCTAAATTATAAAATTTGTGGCCCCAGGGTCGGGGGTTCTGATATTAGGACAGGGCTCTAATGATCATTTAGTGAAAATGCATAAATTCTTTACAAAAATTCTTTTCTTCCCTATGTATTTAGCAGATAAAGTAGGTGCTTGGTTATGATGAGAAAGGGTGCCTCTTCCAAAATAGTGAAATTTGAGGCCCCGTGGTTAGGGGTTCTGGCGTTAGGGCGGGGCTCTTATGATCATACAGTGAAACTGCATAATTTTCGTCTTGTGTTTTCGTCTTGTGTTGGTTTTGCTGGAATTGACTATTCAAAGGTCTTCAATACTACATGTAAACTCAGGATTATATATTTGGGAATTTATCTCTCTTATCAAAGGGTCAGTCCCTATTAAAAGGATGTTTCAACAATAATATACACAATATGTTGGATAACTTAAGACAAAAAATAATCTTAAATTCAGTAATTTTACACAATGAAGATCATATGAATACATTGTAATAATAATATATAATAAAAGTATGATTTTTTGATTTTTTTTTTTTTTTTGGAAAAATAAACTGAAATAAAAATGAAATGAATTTTGCAGGGCTAGAAACCATGTATTCAAACAGTGAAATGTTTCACTATTTTAAAGGCAATGCTAAATCCCCGAATTCTGGAACTTTCAATGGATTAATTTATTTAAATCAAAATACCGCAATTTTCTTATGTTACGGCTATAGATAAAGATAAGAGAATAATTTTCACTTTTGGTACCTTTCTGATAAAACATGTATAATTGGGTTTTTTTCCTTTTGAATGGCTAAAATGGTTGTGATATGCATATTTAAGCATCTTATTCTATTATATACTAAAACATGATAAACAGGTAATATGAGAAAATGTCCATTATTTATAGGCAGGCAAGAGCAATGGCGAGATGTTTGTTGGAGCTGTCGTTACAAGACTACGAGCTGAGTCAACTTCGACCCTCCATGTTGGCACTGTGTATATGGAAGTCCGCTGTGGAGCAAGTCAATACGGACGACGGGAACTTCCTTCCTGCAGGACTCTTCTTTACTCGCGAGGATTTCCAGCATGTATATCAGGAAGTTAGACTATTCACTGAAAATCTCCAGCAAAGTTTTCCGGAAATTATCAGTATTTGTGATCACTACTCGAACATGTATGGGCAGGAATAATTAACACATCAGACTTACTTATGGGGAGTATTTCTAGCTAAAATGATGACCAATACAGAGAAACTTCTACATTTTTTTTCTATTGTACGAAATACTTTTTGATTTATGGTAAAAGGTAAAATGTCGGATTTTGATTTTTAAATTCTTTATAATGGCAGCAAAATTACCCCCCCCCCCCCCCCCCCAAAGATTGAACATGAAACTGTTCAATTTACTTTTGTTGATCGTTTCTGGAAATGTTTTCTCCCAGTCTTTGTGAATTCTCTGTACAAGTCAGTAAAAATTATTTCTTTCATTTACTTTGTCAATGACTATGTGCATAAAAAGTGCTTTACATATATTACAAAATTCTATTTTTATATGTTTGTATAGTTATATAACAGGTTGAAGTTTCTTTATTTTGTTTCTTGACAATTGTTTCAAGTAAATACCAATAATCATCATAATACCGTTAATTTTTCTGTCACCGGTGTGTTGCTTTATTCATCTACCAGTATGCGGAGGATAGAGTCGTTAGGTCATTGTAAATATAAATGTACAGTCACATAAACATACATGTAATATTTGTGAATCATTAAAGATGTCCATATCGTATGTTTAAGAAACAATTAAGGGGTGACATGTACATATGGTAGACGGTGTGATCTGAGAGCGTATAATAGTTGAGATTCAATGTAGTTTCAATTACTTGCCGGTAAACGTTATTAAGATTTTGATTTTAGCACCATTTTTCTGGAATTTGCCATTAAAAACTAGATGAAAAGAATTAATATTAAACTCTTTCCTTTTTATTTTGAAACTGGTCTGTACACAAGGACGTGTTTTACTTGATTACATGTACATGTAACTAAACGTGTATTTCTGAAGATTGAATGTTGTGGGAGTTTTCAGGTTGAGATATTTATTTCATAATTTATTGAAGTTTCGAATAAAGTTTTTTTTTATTCCAGAGCGATATAGAAATAGTAGGGATTGGACGATATACCGATACATACCGATATTTTCTACTAAGATACGGTTTACGATACATGTATTAAAATATCGGTACGAAACGATACACGAACAACCTATCCAAAAATTGAAAATGAAAGTACTCGTCCTTGGAAAATGGCGGCTTGTACGAAGCGAAGTGATGATATTGACATTGAAAACACGCTTTAGAACTTATAAGCCGGAGATAAGGGGTAAAACATTTTCACTTTAAAGCATCCTTGGAAGATGGGACAAGAAAAATTCCGTATGTAAAGCCGGTAAAGCGTGTGATATACAGAAAGTATCGTTTCCACGACAGTTGATATTATTAATTGTTAGTCCATCTGGCACGAACAGCTCATAATAAAGCATGGATTTTCTAATTTCAGAATTTGAAATTTTGAAACAAAGTGTGGATTTTTTTTTTTTTTTTTTTTTTTTTTTGTAAACTCAACTTGTTTGCAGACTTTCAGCAATTAATAATAATGTACATGTGATGTTTTTTTTAATGAATTTTTAGTCAGTGTTCTTGATGAACTACACAACTATTTATAAACGACTTGTTTTATAGACATTCGGCAATACGTACAAATAATATTGTTTTTGTAAACATTTAGTCAGTGAAATTGATGAACTTCAAGTATTAATTTCAAATATCACATATGATTTGATATAGAATGTTTTGTTGATTTATTGTCAAGACAAAAAATGAAAACAAATATTAAATGTTTTTAAATAGTTTTATAATTTATTATAATATCGAGATACGTATCGTATCGTGCTATATGTATCGAGATACGTATCGTATCGCAAGATCTCTGTATCGTCCAACCCCTAAGAAATAGTATACATGTACAACTATTTTCACGGTTGTTTAGCCTTTATGGTTTACTGACACATGTAGGTTTTTCAGATCTCGGATAGTGTTTGTTTCTTCTCAGCAATTTAGTACCGATCCTTACAGCTCCTTTTTGTTTTGGGTCGTTATGTACAAATAACGCGAAAATAATAAAATATCTGGAACAATAATCGAAATGACGATGACACATATAAAAGCTATCCCAAAAGACCCTACATAAACCACTTCCGGTCTGCTATCATAGGTAGAGATTTTCCTCCTTATAAAGTTGGAAGTTGTATTTTTAGGAACCGCCAGAATCTTAATAATGTTTGATATTCTGACTTCCAGTTCCGGCTCTGTTAATGTTGAATTGTCGTCCTCTGTGCAGGTACACAGACAGAGAGAACCTGCTTTGTTGCTCTGTCCAGATGATACTGCATGTGTGGTTTGATCCTCTGCAGCTGTGGTGGTAGAACTTATATCAGGCTCTGTTGTCTTGACTCCTTTAGTTATGGATACTGTACATGAAATAATTCTAACTTATTAAAACAATTAGCGCAAACTTGGATCAAACAACATTTTTTTATGAATTGTGAATTAGCACATGCAATCAGTATTTAATTTAATATAACACAATAATTTGGCAGTACTTGCAAGTTTACGTGAAAGGGTTGCAGCAAAGATGCCAAAATATGAAACTCATTAAAATATTAAAATAAGACCAAGACCTTTATAAATGCAGTTGATATGATTGCGTACTTGATGTTATAGTTGAAGGGGAAGTTGTCTCTTCAAGTGTTTGTGTAGTTAAAACTCTCGTCGTCGTGTGCATGGTTGTTGTCGTCACTGAAAACAACACGTTTTGTTTTGTTATTTGTTTGACAAAACAATAGGGGTTACAATGCAGTTGACTCAGGCAGGGGGCTGGTCCCCTACATTTTTCCAAACATATTTTTTTACTATTGAAAATGTTCATCCGAAAAGCCGGTTCCCCCCCCCCCCCCCTTTTGAAAGACACCTCCCCCCGCCCCGAAATAAATTTTTTAGTTTGGAAATTTTTCCTTTTCTTGTCAAGTTTTTCCAGGTAAGATATTCTTTTAGTTTTGGATACTGTACATGAAACAATTTTAACGTGTCCAAACAATTAGCGCAAACTTGGATCAAAAAACTATTTTTATGGATTGTGAATTAGCACATGCAATCAGTACTTTTTCCTTTGTAATAATTTAATATAACACTATATTTTGGCAGCACTTGCAAGTTTACCTAAAAGAGTTGCAGCAGAGATGCCAAAATATGAAACTCATTAAAATATTAAAATAAGAACAGGAACTTTATAAATGCAGTTGATATGATTGCTTACTTGATGTTACAGTTGAAGGGGAAGTGATCTCTCCAAGTGTTTGTGTAGTTAAAACTGTTGTTGTCGTCACTGAAAACAACACGTTTTGTTTGGTTATCTGTTTGACAAAACAATAAGGGGTTACAATGCAGTTGACTCAGGGACGTAGCATCGGGGGTGGGGGATGGCCCCCATTTTTTCCAAACAAAACATGTTACTATTGAAAATGTTCATCTTAAAGGTCGATCCCCCCTCCCCCCCCCCCCCCAACCGAAATAGAATTTTCGAGTTTGGACAATTTTCCATTTTTTTTTTTTTTTTTTTTTTTGCTTGTCAAGTTTTTCCACGTAAGATATTTTTTTTACTCTGGCTGCCCCCTGCCCACTCCTTTCAAAAACGATGCTATGTCCCTATTACTAAAAGTTTAAAATTACATATAGATCTTAAATTCTCTGCATTTATTCTTCTTGAACTCCACTGCTTTTATACTTTTTTTGACTACAGAAATTACGTACATGTTCAGCTGGAAACATTTAAAAAAAAAATTAACTACCAGAGAATAATGATACATGTAGTTATAGTACCTTCATCACATCCGATAATATCAAACCGCAGACTACAAAAGTTGTGACACTGGGTGGGGTATAACCGAAGAAAGGTGGCGCTGATAGTTGACGGAAGGGTTCTCTTAACAGTTGTGGAATAATCGTAATTGGCGGGGAATTCCTACAAAATTACACAAAATATTTACATTTTTTCAGTTCTAAAGTCTTCATTTAAATTTGTATAATATTTTACCCATACAGGAAATACACATTTTCTATATTTTCTACAGCAGGCAAACGATAGACGAAGTTTCCATCAAATTCTGATTATTTACAGAGCAAAATAAGCAATTAATTTAATATGATGTAGTGCTTGGATTTTCTCGCAAAATCGAATTTCGATCGAGAAATCGATGTCCCGGTCTTTCGCAGGTGGCGCCATCTTATAAAATATATACCTTTAACAACTTCCAAATATTTCCCTATAGATTAAATCGTCACGTTCTCTGGTGTGTACTTGATTTCAAAAAAGTGTTCTACTAGCCTTTCCTTATAGATTTACATGTATGTATATTGCATAATTTTTTGACAAAATATGTTAGAAGGAATAATACCAACAACGAATTCATATTTCCTTATCAATATACATCAACTATGTATTCATCTCAATAGGATGATAAATAATCTGTGTCTGTGGCTTTTTATGGGTATTTCAAAATAATGAATGTCACTTAAATGGATAAAACAACTTAAGAAAATTTTACTATTTTTGTTAGAATAGCTATAAAATTTGTAAGTTAGTAGTTACGTTATCAATATATATTTCTTAAAGTAAATTGTTTCAGATTCTTAAAATTTTTCCCCAATGAAAATTTTCAAACCTTTTTTTAGCTTACCTAAGCAAAATTATAATGCTCAAGTGAGCTTTTTCTGGTCGAAATTTGTCCGTTGTCATCGTTGTCGCTGTTGTCTTCGTCGTCGTAAAGTTTTCACTATTTCATCTTTTTCTCCAAATCAACTGACCCAATTTCAAACCGAACTTTCCACAAAGGATCCCTGATGAAGGGAATTCAAGTTTGTTCAAGGGGAGAAAAAGAAGAAATAGCGAAAAAGAGTTGGGGTCGGTTAAAAATCTTTCTAAAAAACCACAGAGACGGAAAAGATGAAACTTCAGTCGAAGCTTCCTGGCATAGTATACAGTCATGTAGCTTCAAGTTTGTTCAAATCATGGTCTCTGAGGTAGGATTGAGCCACAATAAGGGATCAAAATTATACAGGGGAATATATAAATGTACACATGTAGGCATTTAAAAAAAACTTTTCTCCAAAAACAGCAGGGTCATTATCAGTATTATTGCATTGCAACCATCCTAAGGTAGTGCAGATACAAGTTTGTTCAAATTATGACCCCCTTGGGTAGAGTGGGGCCACGACAGGACCAAACTTTTACTGGGGAATAAATAAGGAAATGTTTTAAAATCTTATTTTCAAGAACAGCAGGGCCAAGATTAGTGTCACTGATATGCAACCATTCACAGGTAGTGAAGGTTGAAGTTTTTTAAAAGCTTGTCACAATCCCCGATATTCAATGAATGCAATTTTTGGTATCAAAAAGACAGCTAATGCCCAATTATTAAAACATTCTTTTAAAATAAAACAGGGAATGCTAAATCGCAT